TTGAGGGGGTAAGGGGGGAGAGGGGGAGGGAGGGAAGGGAAGGGGAAGGGGAAGGGAAGGGGAGGGGGGAGGGGAAGAACTAACATCGTAACCCAGCGGCCTGTTTGGTTGTTATGCGGCACCACAGCCGTCGGTTCCATAGCCCCTTCATCCACCGTTGTACCAACATCCCACTCCGCGCAATTCCCAAAATCATATATCTTAATCGTATCATCATAACTCGCCGTAGCCACCTGTCCCGCACTATTCCACGCCGCATGCGACACGCTCAATTTACTCGTATGCTCGCCCACCAGCGCCGGTGCCCTCTCCCCACCCTTCCCACTTATCTTCCTCAGATCCCATATCTTGAGTGTGCGGTCTAGACTCGCCGTAGCAACGAGATGCGGATGTAAGGGATGAAGAGTAAAGCCTCCGATTTTCTTGTCTGAGAGTTGGAAGATTTGGAGGCCGGCGGCTGCTTCGCTGGGAGTGCGCATGTCGTAGATGCCGAATTGGCCGTCGAGCGTGGAGAAGTAGAGCGTGTTTGGGTCGTCTTTGGAGATTTCCAGACCGGATAGGGGGGCTTCTTCGTCTTTGTCGCTTGGGGCGTAGACTTCGACTGCGACGCCTTTGGCGAGATCGAGCTTGCGCACGCTCGAGTCGTAAGATGCCGTGTATAATGCGTTTGCGTCGTGAGGGCTGAATTGGAAAGTGTGTATTGTGCGTGTGTGCGGTTTGAGCGTCGTGATGGTCGGTCCTTCCCTATCCGCGTCTTCGTCGTCTTCGACTTTGACTTCTGCCACTTTCTGCGATGCATCGCAGATTCCCAGGTTGCCCAGCTTGTCACCGGCAAACACCAATGGCTTGTCGGTTGTGGGGTGGAGGCCCATGGAGTATATGCGCTCGGGCGTGATCTTGATTTCGTTCGGCTCGAAATCTTCCCAGAGCGTTAGGCCGCTCATGCGCTCTCGGAGGGCACGCAATTCCTTGTCCGTGGTCTCTTTCACGTCGTTGTAGTCAAATGTGCGTGCGTACGGATCTGCTGGGCCGACGGAGAGGAAGTTCCCGCTCCGGTTCCAGTCCTTGCCTGCTACGACTATGTCACTGAAGTTGAAGGCATCACTAACGCGTTGTCGCTTTGCGCGATCAGCGGCTTGTATCGCGACGTATTCATCCTCGGCTTTGCGCTTTGCGACTTCGCTGTCTGCCACAATGCCCTTTAATCGCGAGGATGTTCTACGAGGCGCTTCTTCTTCTTGCTTGATCTTTTTGGGCGCGGGCTTTTTCGCTTTTGGTCGCGATGGCACGGATGTCTTCGCCTTGCCTGTGGGACCTAGACCGGCTTCTGCAGCCTCCATCTCAAGGTTGCGCAAGAGCGCCTGCGTCTTTGCAATGTTCTCCTGCCGTTTCCGCTCATACTCGCTGACCTCGACATTTTTGCCGCGCGCCATGTTGGAAAGCAAGTCCAATCCCTAACTGTATACGGAGAGGGGTCTCGAATCGGGGTCGTGGCGGGGACGTGTAGGCTGCGATGCGCGTGCGGTGGTAGTGTGGTGAAGATCGCGTTTCGGTTCGTTTAGAAGTCGCTTCTGAGATTTGCGGGGTATCCGATGGGTTCCTGAAGATCGGATGGCAATTGTCTGCTGGATGCCAGGGGAATTGTGGACTGCAGGCAGATGCTGGATCGCAGAAGTGTTGCCACTAGCGCAGACGCGTTCGACGCGTCGGTCACGTGGCGACGTGATTGACAAGATCTGGAACTACAATCGGATGCGGATCTTCAGCCTCCTGCACGATTTGGAATGGTGTCCAAGGGCCACGTGGTAAGATTACTCCGCCTTCAAGATCGATATGCAGACGTTGAGATCGATTGTCAAGTTCAACGTCGAAATTGATCGACAGCTCTACGACGTCACAGGGTTAGTGTGAGATCTGATCGATGTCGGTCTTGGCAGATTTGCGGAGAAGGCAGCAAATGTCCGCATCGGCTGATCTCTTCATCTTCAATTGCATCCACCATGCCACCATCACGACTAGCAAGCTCGCTACTCGGGAGTGTCCGAGCAGCCTCAATTCGCCCGGCAACCGCTTCGCGACAACGATGCCTATACCATTCGTATGACTACGCGCAGCCGCCGCCATTTCCTCCCGCCGAGTCCGCCATACTCTCCTCCGCATACGCACACGTACCCAGCCATGGGTTTACCATGGACGCACTGAAGCTTGGTGCTCGCGACGCCGGTTATCTTGATGTTTCTACGAATCTGCTTCCGCGAGGTGTCTTCGATCTCATCAATTACCATCTTGTCACGCAGCGCTTGGCGCTACAGAACGATGTTCAATTCCCAGACCAGGGAGAGCAAGGGAAGAAGATGGGCGTTGGCGCAAAAGTCAGGACCTTGACACTGGCGCGGTTGCGGGCGAATGAACCCGTCATACATCGGTGGCAGGAGGTAGGACAGTGCATACACAACAGCGAAGGTCAGCGTGCTGATGGGTGATAGGCACTCGCGATCATGGCCCAGCCCACGTACGTCCCGGCATCTATCGCCGAACTTGCGAGACTTGCAGACGAGATATGGTTTCTGTCGGGAGACCAGAGTGTCGATAGCAGCTGGTACACCAAGCGAGCGACACTCTCGGCCATCTACTCTTCGACCGAGTTATACATGACACAGGACAAGTCGGCCAACTTTGTAGAGACGGAACAGTTTCTGGACAACAGATTACAAGACCTGATGAAAGTTGGCGGCTTCATGGGCGGACTGGGCGAGTGGCTCAACTATACGGGCCATTCTGCCGTCAACGTGCTGAGGAGTAAGGGTGCGCGCATCTGAGTTCGACTGTCCATCGGCGGATGTTGACTGTTTCATGGCATGTTAAGCCGAGGCCATGATGTATTCTGTGTTTCTACTTTTTCCGCTACACTAGCGAAGACGTCACGGCACATGCGATCGCGATGAGATATTGAATGTGACATTTCCAGTATGAAACCCTCCAGGTTTTTGAGTGTCCAAACACCATCGTACGATTTAGACGAGCCTAACTCCAGCATCGCCGATGGTGTTGTGCATCCTAACGAGTTACGAAACAATATTGGTTGCGATTCGGTGATTAGACCGGGGCGACCTCCCGGCGCGCTCTGCCCTGCATGGTTGTAACGAGTAATCTGCGATCCGAGCTCAATCGGTGATCTGAAGTTGAAAGTGGCATCACCCCACCGTGAGAGTGAAAAATGTTGGAGATGGTCAGCGGTCGTCCCAGGTCAAAGCCCCTGAGGATCCAGGCGTAATAAGACCCTTTTCGTATGCTTGTCGGAGGAAGTCAGCTGCATGCCTGCCGTGAGATGCATTAACGAGTGTTCCAGCTGGACCCTTTATTGCGATGGCCCTCTCGATTGCGATGCTGGCAGCGATGAGGGCGGCACAGTGGGAGTCAGTCGCCCGCCAATCATGATGGCAGGGTGTCTGAGCCGAACAACCAAGGACAGATCAGGGTCCAGGAAATCGATTGCGCTTCCCAGGCGTTGGCAGCACCGTGCAAGAGTGACCTCATCCAGGGAGGGGACATGGGGAGTGTGCGTCAGGAGAGGGCCGGCTAGCATTTGCAATCTCGATGGATGCTGTGGCCGTGTGGGAGAGTGCGTGTGGCTGGTGAGGCTCTAGCGGCAGCGTGTCAACGGTTCGTGCCGCCACGGTTCTGCTGTGATGGGAAGCCATGGTGTGAAGAGGGTCTGGACCATCTCTCATGCCGTGCAGCACTGGCAGCAACTGTCAGACGCGGATCTAGACGGTGGCAAGTGTAGATGTGTGCGGGTGGTTGCATGTTGTTCGCAGTGCGGCAGTGCTGCTAGAAGGTTGTGTTCTCCGGAGAAGCATAGGAGAGGACGGCCATCACAGATATGGAGAGCCATCGAGACTTGAGGGTCAACGGGCGGAACAGAAGGGCGATGGTCTCCCACCTGGGCGATGGTGGGCTGGAGATCAAGGCCCATCGTCGATTGCCGGTAGTTGGTGCGCTAGGCCCGAACGCCACACTTCCTCTTCGCGGCCAGGTACCCTCGATCTCCAGCTGCAGTCTTGGCAGCTTGGAAATCGAGAGCATCGACATGCTTACCCACATCAAGATCGATGCCCATCATGGCTCACCTGCACAAACCAGCGCCGAGAGAGCCCACAACTCTCTTCAGCCATCTTTCAATTTGCACGCTGAAACTGCCCTCGCACCATACGACGACGCCGCTACCAGCACCCTACATACCATTCGAACCACCGCCGCGGAAGCGTCTGATCCATTCGAGCCTGGGCACAACAGCCTCCCGGTCTACAATATACGCACACCTTGGACATTTGATCGCTAGCGGCCTGACATTCACCATCATCCACATGGGGAGCATCCTGCCTGTCTAGCCCCCAACTCTCACCCGCCTCTCTCCACCCGCCATGAACGACCGCCCGGGAACCATTCCCATGGCTGCGCGTTCCCACCCACGCCGCCCGCCAGCCCACCGCTCCGTCTCTCTCCGCCACAGCCCGCCGCCTAAACCTCAACCATCAAGACGCGAGCCCAAGAAGGCGCCGACTGCTGAGACGTCGCCCACCCTCGCCAGCGACAAGGCCAATCCGCCCTCGAGCGTGTCTCCCCAGCTGCTCTCCAACAAGACCAGCTCGGGCGAGAGCAGCGACGCCGGCCAATGGTTCGAAAAGACCAACAACACGGCCAGCCAGGGCAAGTCGGCCTTCGTCGACAGTGAGTGCCTCCGACAGAGTAGATGAGAAAGTGTGACTGACCATTAAGATGAACCGCCCTTCTTCCTCCGCAACTCGTCTTCGTCCGAGACGCCGCCCGACACCACCCAGGCACAGGTCGCCATGCCCTACCGCCCCCTCGGCCAGATTGGCACCGACGGCAGCAGCACCGAAGACTTCCGCAGCGTCATCGACGACCTGACCGTCGCCAACAAGAAGCTCAAGCAGCGGCTGCGGAAGTACGAGAAGCTCTACGATGCCCACCTGCAAGAAGAGAAGCTGTTCGAGGTGAGGTTCCATGGCCTGCCCGACCACAAGAAGAAAGAACTCGAGGAGACTCTGCGCAAGTTTGCATCAGATCTCGACGAAGGCACCACCAACGACTACGCCGACATCTCAGCCTACACCCCGGCACTCCAAACCCACAACACCGCCTCCTCCACATCGCGCTTCGCCGAGTCGGGCTACGCTTCCCTATCTGCATCCGGCCCTAACTCGTCAGGCCAATCCAATCAAGACAACGACCGCCGCAAGATGACCAAATCCGCCTACAGCCGGCAACAGCAAAACATCCAGTCGTACCTCCACGACATCCCCATGGGCCTGCTACCCAACAACAAGACCGCCCCCATGACCGACAAGTCCAAGAAGAAGATGGTTGTGCGCCGCCTGGAGCAGATCTTTGCTGGCAAGCGCTCTGCGCCCGGGTCCCACCCACACCCAATGCAGCAACAGGAAGTAGCCCAGTCGGCAGCAACAGCCGACCGTGCCCAGCGAGAAGCGACGGGACAAAATCAGAAGCCCGAGGGTCAGCGTGAAGCTCGCATCAGGAACGACCGCGGTGCTAGTGCTGCTCGGGAAAGTCATGCGGACCAGGACGAAGTCCTACAGGGCTTCCGCCCCAGCCTGCATATCGAGGAACAGGACTTCGCTGGCTCAGGTCTATCTCCCGACCAACGACCCACACGACCGCTAGACCTGGACCCTTACCGTGCGCAGGTGCCTACAGAGAACATGGACTACATCCGCCATCTTGGCTTCACCCCACCGGACATGGACTCTGGAGAAGCACCCCTCGGCCACGGCTGGATTTACCTAAACTTGGTCATCAACATGGCCCAACTACACACTCTAAACGTCACACCCGAGTTCGTCAAGGACGCCTTGCACGAGTACAGCAACCATCTCGAGATCTCTCGCGACGGTCGCAAAATCCGATGGAAGGGCGGCCTCGACATCACCAAGCACAGCGGCGACAGCTCGTCGGAGCATTGGAGTGGTGCTTCACCGAATGAGTCCGGCTCCCAGTCGCCTTTCAAGGGTATGAAGACTGGCAACAGCGGTGCCAGCAGCGACATGATGGATGAAGCCACGATTGCCAGAAGGCAAGCTCGTGCCCAGCGTGAGAAGGAGCAAAACAAGTTTGCGTACAAACCCATGTTCTTCCACAAGGATGAGTCGGAGAACGAAGACGAGTTTTACGCCTTCGACGCCGAATCCTCAGCCAACTACTCTTACCAACCCCAGCCCACGGGCAACTCCTCAGGTTTCAGCAGTTCCATCATGCAGAGCTCCTCATCAAAACCTCGCAGGCGCGATGACGGACCCATGATCTTCTACACCAAGGCCAAGTTCTGCACTGACCTGAGCGGTGATCGTAACGGCGCTTTCCTTACCATGCCCGGCAATTATCAGCCAATCAC